GATCGTGTATGGCTGGCTAGTCATCTCAAGTTGGTTGGCGGGGCCATATTTGTGTTTTTCTCCGTGTACCCTTAATTTTCTTCTAGTGTTCTGAGATAGCCTCTTTAATTTCACACATCTTTAAATAAATATGGTTTGCTTATCTTCATAATTCTGATACTTGTGATGTAACATTATAGATACATTCGCCTTGTTATGGGAAAAGCAGAATCAAATGATCCAGAAGTGCTCAAACAGCTACACCCTAGGTAAGTTTGTCAAAATTCCACTCCATTTTAGCACTAAGGATCCATCAAGGAGATAATCCATTGATTTGAGCATTTTTTTTAAAGAAAATAGAAAATCCAATTGCTCAAATGGTGTTCCCATGTTCATCTGAGAAGGATGATGTTGCGATGTCATCCTAATGCAGTGACCTCTCTAACTAGAAGACTCCTTGTATGGTTTTATCCTCTCTAATTAGAAGAATACTTTTGTAACATTCAGTGACTGAAAAAGGTTATGTTTTGCTTGTTAGTCAATTAGGACTATATGGTTAGCTCATTACTGACATGTATTTGTGTTTTCTGGCATTGTTTGACAATTTGTTTACTTCTGAAAGATGCCTGATTTTTTTATCAACATTAATTAATTAATTAATTGAGTATACTTAGGCAGCACATAATTCTAAATGCAGGTTTGCTGAACTGAAGGCCTTTCATGGCATTGAGGATGAGAAGCCAACTTCAAGGATGTCAGGCCCACAAAAGATGGCCTCTGGGCTTATAAGTAATTATCTTGAACTAGATAAATTGGACAATAATATGGCTACATGAATGAGCTGGAACTTTTCTATCCTGCATGCAGGTATCACCTTGAAATGTGTGGGGCCATCCATGGGTGAGAAGCAGCCATTGACAAAGAAACTGCCTCCTGCAACTACTGTAAGTGCTTCATACCACTTGTCTATCCTTATTTTTTGTCTCCCTCTGGCACTTATTTGTACTACTTACAGTCATGACAGATCGTTCATCCGATCTGCTTTGTCCTATTCAGTGTTTTAACTGTCAAAGTTTTTTTTTGTGTGCGTGTGTAGGTTGGAAAGCTGAAATCTTTGTGCGAGAGTTTCTTTAAACTGAAGGACATCAAACTGAGATTGTTTCTTGAAGAAGAGGTACGGCATATATTGTGTCTCTAAATTATCTCCCCCACAGTTGAACTTCTGGAGTTCTATTGTTCATGCACAAAAGTCCGATTAGAAAAAGTACTGCTTTGTTGTCTTTGAAAGAATCTGCTTGTGAACATGCCAATATTCGAAATAGATTATTATTGATGCTATGTTTGTGTTTTAGCAGGGATGCCCACTACCGCAACTACTCGAAGAAGAGACGGCTTCGCTCGTGGAACTTGGGATAGGCACAGGAGCAACCATTATCGTCGATGAAGAAAGCTAGTCCTCTGCTGGGAACAGTAGAAAGAATATATGTATTTGTGTGCATGTATACCGCACTATGATTACTTTAAAAGAGCCAGTCTCCTTTTTTCTGTTCATTTGTTAGAGAAAATGTGGTCTTCTTGGTGTGATTTTATATTTGTTTAGACACGCGAGATGCTTTATTTTATAGCTGTGCTGCTGAGAACAGAGATGCTGTTTTCATAGCCCTTTGTGGGGGCAGAGAGAAAATCAGCTTTATCCTTATCCTCATCATATGGCCACAAAGCCTCACACCACAAATAATGCTAGAACTCATATTTCTTTGTTTCTGTGTCTCCAAAGTTTCCCAGTCGCTGTCCTTTGTCTCTCTTCTTCAGAGGCTTGAGGATGGTTTGCCTTGTGCATTACCCTGCATAGGGCTGTAAACTTGGAAGGCTTCTGAGCAAGCAGCAGCAGCAGCAGCAGCCATGGAGCCTGCTAGTGCTAGCTTGGTCTCCCTGAGGGCATCCGCCGCCACGAGCCACAGCTGCTTCTCGTGTCGGCAGCGAGCGACGCCCAAGACCAGGATGCTTCCGGCCATGGCGTCCAAGTCCGGGGCGAAACTGGTATGAGTATCTCCTCACAGAATTCCAGTTTCTTCATCTTCTTGGCACCGGCTGGTTCTAGCCATGGCTATCGTTGCTGCCCTGCTGCATAGAAGCCATTCTTGCCAGTGTTGTACTGAAGAAGATGCTGCTTGTGCTGTGCAGGTGGCTTCAGGCTGCAAGACATGCAGGGGGAAGGGTGCAGTGGAATGCGAAGGCTGCAAGGCAAGACCAGTCTCTGCCTGCTGCTGCCATACATATCTTATCTTCTGAAGGCCATTTATTACTATCTGCAAATGATTTTTTTTGATAGTTATCTTCTGAAGGCCATTTGTTATAATCTGCAACCATATTTTCTTAATACTGATGAGGGGAGCTAACTGTCTAATGCTTGATGCAGGGGACTGGCAGGAACAAGAAGAACGGCAACATCTTCGAGAGATGGAAGTATGTTTGTCAATCATGAGAAATTACAAGTCATAATATTCATGTACAGTACTACGTGTAGTCGAAGTATCAGTTATTACTCCAGTGATTGGTTTGTGACTAAACTGCTGGTATTATGGGATATGCTTCAGGTGCTTCGACTGCCAGGGGTTTGGGATGAGGAAGTGCCCCACCTGCGGCAAGGGAGGCCTCACGCCGGAGCAGAGAGGAGAAAGATAGAAGAAGCATAAGCACCCATCCATCCATGGCAGCTGCAGGCAGATGCACTCTCCAATGTCATATTTATCATGCTCAACTTTGCTCGAATTCTGACTACTATCTAGAAGTAAGTATCAACCAGAATCGCCAAATAAAATGTCGAAAACCGAATATGGTGGTACACATAATCGGTTTGAGAACCGGCAGTATAATGCCAAGCAGAATGTTGTGAGGAAATCAAACTGGTTTCTGCGCGTATTGACTTGCTTGGATGCTTTTGAATCTGTATGCTGTAAGTATTTTTTTATTTTTTGAATATATCCAGTTTGTCGTAAGTATTATTTAAAAAAACTAAGTGCCTCTCCAGGGCGATGGGTGGCACTCTGTGAGGCTGCATGTGGCCCCTTTGCGCACTTAGCTACAGAGCACCAATGTGCCGCCTCAGGTTTGGCTGCCTGGTGGGCTTTCCATAACATGTTCAGTTTCAATATAAAATTTTGCCCATTAAGTTCATCTGAGACATATGATGGATAAATCCATCAAGTGGTAACAAGTTTATGTATCCACACTAAATTAAAGGGAGGTGATATTCTTGGTTTCGTCCCGTTTCGTTTGGTCCAATTCAATTAATTTCACGTAGGCTATTTGGTTTCGTTACTTGCCACCCGTTTTGGCCCAACAGAGGAAGCCCACCTGACGGCGCACTGTGGCCCACGTACGGAGAGATAGCAAAAATTAAATTTGCCGATGGCAGGGTTAGATCTCATAACCCACCAACCGGCCATGCACGGTTTGTCCAACTGACTCAGCTAGAGATATAAGTGGTTTTTTTTCTCCCCCGTTGCAACGCACGGGCCTTTTTGCTAGTCCACACTAAATTATTGATATGTCTAGTTCAGCCAATGGAATCGCAAAATATTAGTCATACAGAAATATGTATTTGCAAAAGATGGTCGCTCAAGTTTCTTGCCCCGGATGCGAAAATGAAACATATATATATTTGGATCCCTGATCAACAAAAATAAGAATATCAGTCCCATCTAACATATAAAGCCTGGTAGAGTACCCGCCATTCCAGGGGCATTCACGGCGCGCGTGCGTTGTGGCCGCATGATTTCACAGCAACAAGGATTTTTACGCTGCTGTCAAAGTCGTGGCCGTTAGTCCTCTGTGACTCATTTGTTTTGCTTCCTTGTCCATGACGGGTGGGCCTCAAATGCCTACGGGCCCAGTGTATTGGTGCGCCCCGTGTGCGTCCTGGGTGAGAAAGCGAGAGGCGTGGGGCTGGATCGTAGGGCGCGGTGAAAACCTAGCCCCCAATCTCATTCGTCTCCAAACAGCCAATCCCTCCACTTCTCGAGCCAAGCTCCCCTCCTCCACTGGTCTCCACTGCGCCACCTCCCCCCCCCCTTTCCCTTTTCTCCTCATGTGCTCTCGCCCGGGCCAAGCCGAGCGACCTCCTGGCCAGCATCTACTCCATCTTGTTCTTCTCCGGCTAAACAGCGGCGAGCCCGCGGATCTGGCGTCTCGGGAGTGGAAGGGGATCTGGCGTCCTGGGAGTGGAAGAAACGAGGAGCATCCACCCGATGGGGGAGGAGGTGGCGCCCAGGGAGAGGGGTGGCGGCGGCCCCTCTGCCTACCACCGAGCTCTGGGAGAAACATGGAGGCGGCAGGGAGCATGGGAGCGATAGCGGTGACTGGATGCCAGGAGCTTGACGAGGTCCATGCTGGCAGCACCCTCGCCCTCAACCTTACTGGCGGTGTGGCTGTACAAACGACGCCGGTCGACGGTGGTATGGCACCGCATCCCTCCCCTTCCCCCTCTCCCCTCCTCTTCAAAATATGAGTTGGACCAATTCCCGATAGCCGTCTTCTTTACCCTGTTTCAAAATCAGGAAATGCTGGTTCCTAATATGTGATGTTTTCTTTTTAAGGGGCTGGAGAATCAGGAAAGTCCATGATATCTATGCAGGCAAGAATTCCATTGTATTCTTCCCTGGAAAGTTACAATCCCAGTGACAAATAGTACACCTTACATTTTTCTGAACATCTATCTCCAGATAAATCTTCTTTTCTGGACCGGCTTTGACGTGGCGGAACACAAGGGCTATATGACAGTCAACCATGTCATCGTGTACCAGACAATCAAAGTATGCCAATACTGCAACGAGCGTGTTTTAATATAGTTTTTCCTCTTATTACTTAGTGAGGATCATGTAGGCAGCTTTATATTGTTCTTTTGGGAGTGTTTTGCAAGTGTTTTTTTCCCGAGTAATGAGCTTAATTTGCGCAGTTAATGTATGATGGGGCTAAAGAGCTTGCCCAAGGGGAATCCGACTACTCAAAATATGCTATTTTACCTGATAATCAGGTTCGTACGTCCTATTTTGTTCAGTATGTAAGTTACATTTGGGCTGGGCATAAACACCAATATATTGCAACATGAACAACTTGTTATAGCTGAGGCAGCATTACAGTTAACACTCAGAACTAGACTATAATCAACCTTGTTCAGACCTTGCACCTGCTTTAAGCTCTGCTGCAATATTGTGTTTTGTTGTTGTTCCACCGTCATGTGTTTTGCTACTTTTCCACCATCATACACGAATATACTTTCAACTGTAGATGATTCAGCCAAATGAAGTATACAAAGTTTGGTCTCTATCCCGTCCTTTCTATGTATCGCTCCTTCGATTTCTCACAAATCATTGTTCTTCTGATAGCTTAGGAATATATAATCTCTGCTTGTTATTACGCTTGATTTCTTCAGAGAAAGAATACTAACTTTATACAGTGTTCTTCTGATAACTAAGAAATAAGCTAAGAGAGGCGGAACCCGACCCTGATGACAGCCAAAATCAGGCCCCACTCCTGTCTCTCTGGCGCCTACTCTTCAGATGGACAACAACACTTTGCCAGCAACGGCTGCTGTCCAGTTAAGAGCAAGTATGTTTTGTTGCTGAAGCATTATTTGGATTATAGTTACTTCTTTGTTTCTGTGAATAACTACACATGTGTTCTTCTACTTTTCATACTGTCAAATTCTTATCTTTGTACATGGATCCATTAAGAACATTAAATAGACCACCCAGTTCATGTAGAATATTGTCCAATGCCTTCAATTATGCCATGATGTATTCATACAAGGTGATGTTATAACCATATCTAGAGAAGATCACAGACAAGTTTCTTCAGCACTATTGTGTTCACTATGCTCTCCACTAGCATGTCAGCATTATACAGTGTTTTTGTGATAACTGAGAAATATATTGTGGCTGATGCCATGGCAAGGCTACTACAATCCTGACTTTGTCAAGTATAAAGTATTATTGAGATTATGAAGTTTGTTTATTTACAGTGTGCTGCTCTCCTATCTTCAGGAGATTGGAGAAAAACTATCAAAAATAAGTGTCGGGTTTGATTACCCACCCCTTAACAAAGAAGTCATACAGGGTGTATGAAATCTATGGGAAGATCCATCCATCTAGGTGAAAAGAAGTTCATATTTCTGTAAATGTGTATACTGTCAAGCAACCAGTTTTATTATAAAGAAATGCATATGTAAGAAACTTACTTGTGTGGAAGTGTGTTGCAAGTTCATCCCCATCCCCCGTCGGACCCAATGTTGTAAGTTAGAATAGTGGGTCTGCGGTTCTTGTTGCTGTTCTGCCGGCCCGCCGCCTCGTGTGCTGCCTTTCTTCCTGCCAAGGTTCTGCCTTCCTTCTCTGACTTTCCATTGTTTTGCTCATTTCATATACACCATTTTACTCGCTCTACCTGTGTGTTCTGTGCGTCGTGTTCTGTTTATATTATTATTTTCTTCTCATGCTTGCTCTCCTTCAAGCTTATTTTGTGCCAGGATTCTGGAAACGACCAAGGACAAGCAACTCAAGCGAAAGATTGCTTCACTTAATCTGGCGATGTTATTCTTCTGAAACATGCTAAAGAAAGGTTGGTACTCTTGGGTAAATCTAGCCTTTTTGATTCATTTGTCTATTGTTCTTATCATACAGGGTGTATCCCAAAATTTTAAAAAATATGCCTCTCGGATCAAAATGTTAGTACGTGAACAAATGGTTTAAAAATATAGCCTCTATCAAAAGTTCTCAATGCTTGAGTCGCTGCAGCGTGTATGGTAGCAAGTAAGTACTGCTGGTGCAGAATGGTTGCAACATTGAGAAACTAGCTGGTTTTGGCTATTTTGCAACTGTAATTAGGACTTGATTACTGATGTGTGCCAGTATTAATCTATGTTGGTATTTTTTCATACGACCAGCATTAATCTATGTTGTGATGTATGCCAATTCATTGCCGATGCAGTGCCATTTGCCGAAAATATGTGTATCGTTGCACTCTATTGCTTAGGCCTTTAATCAAGTTACTGTGTTGTTGGTTACATCCCTGATAACTAGATTGATACATTGTTGTAAACACATTACACTCCTAAAAACACATCTACTAGGCTTATATGCCCAATCTGTATAGTAGCTAGCTTCATCTTAATTCAGTCTCAATGTTGGTAACAATATTTAAAAATAGCGCAAATAGGCCCTCCAAACACCATGCCTGTTGGGCTCTCTTTCCTACCGAGTTAGATGACAACCATTACAGGGTAAATTGGTCATATAATTTCATTCCACACAATATGTGATAGGGCATCTCCTCAGTTTAAACCGTTCTATATATAAGTTCTTCTACTTGTTTTCTTGACTTACAACATTCTTTTCATATAATTTCATTCCACAGAATATGTGACAGGGCATCTGCTCAGTTTAAACTGTTCTATATATAAGCTCTTATACTTGTTTTCTTGACCTGCAACATTTTCTTCATTCTCTTAACATGAAACTCTCTCCGCATATGGTCTATTGGACACTATATTTTTCATGTGATTTGGTATTACCTATCAAAGTCATGTAATCACTAATCAGTGTCGTGGCGCACATCTGCTAGCCTTTGATTTTGGTCTGTCGCCCATGCCATGTATTTTACATGTTCATCTATTTGGGCATTAGTGACACCGGTATTAGTAGCCGTGTTAATCAAAATTCTAGAAAAGTGTTACATTAAAACTGGTACGTAAACCGCCTTATGCTAATATTAGTGCTACACGAACTCCAGAATGGTTTATTGATGGTGAATTTCGTGGTGCATCACGGGTCGAACCTCCAGGATTTTGTGGCCATATTATGTTGTCTGCAATGTTGTAATTCAGATGCCTTGATTAATACACATGTGAATGGGGGTGCTAAACCAGTCATTCCCCTTTGAAAACCGATGTTGCCTTGCATACATATGTATTTTGCTGGTCTCGAATCGGAGACCGCTGATAGTATGCTATTTGGTGCTATGTTATTTCAAATGTTGATAAAATTCTATATTTTGCATGATTAGTTCAACCTATTGTTTCTTGCAGATGAGAGGGATCGGCAAAAAAGTTTGAGCCTCCTCTTAGAAGGTCGGTGACAATCTTAATGCTTTAGTAAAGACTGTTTAGTGTTTATGATCAAGGAAACATAATGATTTACTTATTCTGTTCTCTTGGCAATCATAGGTTCAAAACGGGACGCAGGCAAGATAGCTCTAGGAAAGTTGGTGCGGACGGCTCCGAAGTGGAGCCTAGAAGTGGCGAATTTTCTTAACACCGCTACATTAATCACCTGTCAGTACCTTTCTATTAATATACTTTGTTAATACGTGCTACATCAACCACCTCTACACGCTTTACGTGTTTCTACTTTTTTATTTTGCAACTAACAAAGTGTTCTTTGCTATTGTATTAAGTGAAATTGGCAATAGTGACAACCTAGAGGAAGATGATACCACCGAAAGTGATGTGCCGGTGGATGATATGGACGAATACAACTAGAATATTGCCAAGGCTATTATTGCATCAAGGGCAAGACTTATTACCGATGCTCAGCGCAAAGTCGAATATATGCTCAAGGAAATATGGGTGCCCCCTCCAACGCTACCCATGTGCGTCATTTCCCTTAAATCTATCATTATGATTAAGACTATTGAGCATGCGTTTGCTTCTGATTTTGTGGATTATGGGCGCACAATGAAGTATGGTCGGTAGTAATGATTTATCGCCTTTGAATCTATGTTCAATCATAATATCACTATTTCTGTGTGAAAATGCAGTGTTTACTTCATCTATATCATACTCCCTTTTTACACTAACATAAGATGTTTTTGCAGTTTAAATTGAACTGCAAAAATGTCTTATATTAGTGTACTGAGAGAGTATTTATGTTCTATGGCCATCATCTTTATAAATTACCCTAGACTAATTACAACAGTTTATAGAAACATGCTTAGAACTATATGACAACTTGTCTCACATATACCAAATCAAGGTTGCTTATCAGTAACACCCCATTGTTAGCATATGCTTTAGGGCAAAATTGTGTTTCATGTGTCTCTCCTATTGCCTTCTTACTATATGATTGAAGTCCATACCTGACATCAAACAATCTTAAACAGATCCATTTGTCAATGATGACTCTGCTTGACGTCGCTGCATACCAGCAGAAGATAAAGCTCAACCATAGATTGGAAGACCGGGGCTATATAGATTGATGTCTAAAACCAATGCAGGTCACCCTGCTGAAGAAGGAGAGGAAGTTAGAAATCAATTTCAGTTTTACAGGTGCAAAATCAACTCATTCCACTGTAATACTGGACATCCAGATGTCCATGATGGTTATTGTACATGGTATGTTAGCTTGCCTTTTCTAAGTACTTTTCGATCGAGTTAAATTAGCTGCTGCTATCTGTGGTGATTTGCATGAGCATAATACTGCTGTAGAAGACCATGCTAATCAACCGAATATGCTTCTTCAGGAGAATCAGGATGGATTAGAATGGATTATTTATTACCTTGGTGACAACGTCGGGTGGGCGTTGAATCGTGGACATGTCCCCTATGGATCCAGGCGGCTGGGTGAACAGATGGACCGAGCTCCCTCCTCCGCCCAAGAAGCAACCGGGGAAAGCAGCGCCGACGGCCGGAACCTCCTCCGCCCAAGAAGCAGCCGGGAAAAGCAGCACCGACGGTCGGAACCTCCTCTGCCCAAGAAGCAGCCGGGGAAAGCAGCACCGATGGCCGGAACCTCCTCGCCCAAGACGGCCAGAACAACACTACGGCGGATCCAAATCGCCAGTCTCCTCTGTCCAAAGCTGGACTGAGTGGATGCCCCCATGAGAGGACACGCGCACAGCCAAACCCACACACACCAGACACCCGTGGCATGGTGGCTTATCCGATGGGAGACTACCACTTGCTCACGCTGAACCATTGTGGCCCACAGCCCCCCGTGAACGTTGTGTCCCACTGCCACTTGCACCGGTATACGTTGTGGCCCACCGGGAAAATGCATATATGAGCGCTCGTAGGTGCCAGCCATCTATTCCAAGGGGAGAAAAAAAATCTACTCCCAAGGAGTTTTTCTTTTCTTTTTAAAGGATCTATTATTCTCAGGTACTCCCTCCGTCTCATAATATAAAATACTTTTTGACACTACATCAGTGTTAAAAAACGTCTGTAAAAAACGTCTTACATTATGAGACTAAGGGAATACGTTTTATTCACATAAACTAGCACTCAATTATTATTTTAAAAAATTATCCATATCTATTATCAATGTTCATTGAAAATACAAATCATATCAAACATAATAAAAATTACATTGCGATTCCAAGACCATCACATAGCCACTACTGTTGCTGACGCGCCGCTATCGCCGCTCCCCTACGGGATCCGACTTGACCTGGTTAATGATAGCCGAGAAATCTTCATACATGTGCCCCTTGTTCAATACCTGGAGCCGTAGTCATCATCGTTGAACCCTTGCCTATATCTGAAGCATCTGACACCAAATCCCGCCACATGACGAGAAACCCTAACCTCATCACCCCAAGGAGACGACAGGAATCTACGCCAGAGCTTCGTCGGCTATGTTCAAATGGACGAACTCGAGTAGGATCGGGACATGAAAGACAAACTCGAAGAAGTAGCGCCACCATCCGCTCGAGTGTCGCACCTGCGAGGACTAAAAAACGTGACCTAAACTACTAACCGGATCGAAGGCACCGAGATTCCCATTCCCACCACCGGTTGATGGAGCGGTAGAAAAGGGAAGGTGAATCCACGGGCTCACCAATGAAGTTTCGAGGTGAGAGTTTGCCCTAGCCACCTAGAGTTTACTCTCCCCGAACAACAAGCGACAGAACGAAAACACATGTTGGAGCGGTCTCAACCATCCATTCCCAAGGAGTGTTTTTTCCTTTCTGAGGGTCTATATTCTCTAAGAGTTTTTATTCACAGAAACAAGTGTGATGTTGCAGAAACAAGCGTGATGATCCGGTCAAAATCATACCCCTCAATTGAATAAGGGAGCTCCTACCCCTATGGAGATTAATGATTTATCTACACAAAAAATATCAGTTATCCAATGCCAATTATTAGGAGTGGTTGTTGTTGTGCTGGTTGTTAGCAAGAAGGTTGGGATCATGCACTAATTTTTTTCCTATGTTCATTGTTTGTGTACCTATCTAATGGCATTTCGAGAATTTTTTCCTCTACAACCTGTAAATTTCGGATTCAGTTTACTGATCTTTGAAAGTCATGTATAACTTGGCAGAAATGCTATCCCTACAAATGCAAACGTTTCTGTTACAAAAGGTTTTACCCTTGATGCTTGAATTTGGACCTTGCACCTTACTTGGGTAACATAGAGCCAAATGGCACATTGTCCAAATACACATTCAAAACACTTCGGGTTTGACATGGTCTCTATCCTTGATCAAACATAAAGTTACTAAAAAAAGGCAAATATTTCTCCACATGAACATGGTTTCAAATGGGTCTCTGCGCCATTTGGCGCACCGGGTCATCTAGTACACCATAAAAATCACAAGTAGAGTAGCAAGCCAAATACCACACATAGTCGATAAGTTACTAAAAAAGTAATCACAAATCAGAAGATGGAAATCAAAGAGTGGACTTCCAACTCCCATAAGACATATCCTGAGCAACATAATAGGACTTCATTCTCCCCCTTTGCCATCAAGACTCACATGAAAAAAAAAATGATGCTAACATATGGCCAACTAAATCATTTCAGATCATTCTTCACGGACGTATTCATTAGGTCAGACACCCTCCTCACCGCCGGCCTGGCCCTCAGGCCATCCCACCATGCCCTTACACGTGGGTACGCGTCGAGAACTGACCTGTACGGAGTGATCCCTAGGCACAAAATGGTGGACACATGGTTGAGGTCCGCGAGGCTGATGAAATCACCAGCCAGGTACCTGGAGCTCGACTGCCTCGACTCATACACCTCCAGCACCTTCTTTAGCTTCTCGATGTTGCCCTCCACGGCGCTCTCGTCTACTCTTTGCCCAAAGATTGGTCGGATCCTGATTTCCATGAGGATAGCATCCATTATAGGACTGTAATGGTGAGCCTCCACCTCCATTCACACGTCCACCATTGCTGATCCCTCCAGCTCCTGGTTGCCGATCCCGAGAAGCTCCGGTTTGTACTTGCGGCATACATTTCGTGATCGCACGTGACTCTGCAATATATGTGGTGAGAAAGCAAGGGTTGAAGCATGTTTGATTTCAGTAGAAAATTTGCTCGTGAAGTTTCTTACCCCAGAGGCAGAAGTCACCATACCTGACCGAATGGCTGTGAAAAGAGAAAAAGCACACACACATGTACCACTTAGCAGCTAATCAGCAACATCAACGCTAGAAGAAAAACAAACACCCTTGCTATCTTCCAGCTAGCTGATATTTCAGCATGTCGTCATTCAGAATTTTTATCCGGTCAACCGCTTCAATCCCGATGATCGTTGTGTTACTAACTGGTCTTACATGCTACTAAAGGATGGAAATCTGACTGGTACCGGACTGAGATTCAGCTAGACGTTGATTAGACACTAAAAGACAAAGTAGCCAGGATACATAGAAGAGCCAGAGAGTCTAGAGTACATAAGTTCCTGGCAAGGTGGGCGGGGCACTTGTGCTCGGTGGCGGCGAAGTCGACGGCGACGACCTCGTACTCGACGCTGGCCTCCTCCAGGATCAAGTGCACCCTGGCTATGTTCCAAGACTTGGCCACCCCGTACACCTTCACGGCGGCCGCCATGTCCGCTGCTCTTCTTCTGGCCGGCCGGTTTCTCTCTTCTTATTGCCAAAATATGTCTCTGTCTTCACCTCAACTGATGTGCCTACCTGGTTGACTGATAGCATAGCATAGTATTTCATCTTATCATACTTATATAGTAGAGGATGGAAGCTTACAACCGCAAACTTTGTCAAAATGTGCGCCCATGTTCCACGAGGAGGGTTTTATATGGAGTATATACTTTTCAAAGGATACACATTTATCTAGCAAATGCTGTGGTTCTGCCATGTAGAGGTTCTGAAATGGATGCCTTCACAAGGTTAGTATACATGCGGTTCTGAAATGGCTTATATCAAATAAATGGCTTATATGTGCCTGCCAGGTTGACGAAATCTCCAAGTTGGTACTACTTGAACTCTGATCCTACCGAGTGTTTAATTGCTTTCTTCTAACAAGAAATTCTCTATACTTGTGCTTTTTCTACCATGCACGGGGTATCAGGTGCATCCATCCACCGTCTGATCATTGCTTTGAGGTTCATGCAATGCTTTTTGATTTTTGGCAACATTTGTCTGGTTTCAATGTACTTGCATAATCGATGATAAAGGGTCCCCCCTGCTTTATATTATAAAGCAACGGCCAACAACCAACAACAATGTTCATACAGAGAGGAGTATTAGTAGCAAGAGGGAGCATAAAATAAATAGTCTTGCTGGAGGCTCAACACAACATCCCCTGAAATAAAACTGGGTAGCTAATCTGGCTTAGGAGGCGGTGGAGGGGCGGTGAGAGCGGTGAAGGGGGTGGCGGCGCAAGACGCGAGGCGATGGAGCGAAGGTCCAAGGAGGTCTTGTTGATGGCCTACTGAGCATGCCACTTGCTAAGCGCCCACCATAGCTGCATAAATCCACACAATTTATAAATAGCACCAGTCGCCCGCGAAGTGCGATCACATGTTCAATCACAAGCTTATTACACACAGTCGATAATGTCCGTTATAGCACCCCAACTACCACCCAAAGGGTCGTACGGATGGAAGGTTGGTGGGTTTGAACCTCCCAAAACAAGCATGGCACCACCTACCACCTACCACCTCGCGAAGGCAACTCCAAAGAAACCAAGCCGAGGGGCGGGTGAAGAAGATGTGATTCGAATCTTTTGGAACCTCACACAAAGGGCACTGACCATCGCCAGGGCGATTATGCTTGAGTACCTCAATCCCCGAGGGGAAGCGGCCACAGACTAATTGCCAAAGGAAGATACGAATTTTGAGGGGCAATTTGATCGCCCGGAGGAGATTCAATTCCTCTGGTCCCAGAGTAGACACAAGGGATCTATAGATGGACCGAGAGGGAAAGAGACCATTTGGTTCTAGGTGACAACCTATGGCATCCTAGTCTAAGGTAGGCATGTGTAGGGCCACACACTCTAATAGTTCTTCCCATTGGCCCCGTTCTACGGGCCAAACATCTGATGGAAGGATAGGTTAACGAGATTCACAAGGGCAGCTTCTATGGTTATGTGCGGAACCTAGACGCGAAAGGCCTTTGGCCCGGCCGGCGATCCAACCAAAAAAGGGTATTCGTCCCCAAGCCCACCGTGATGGATGATCCAATTTGTAGCACCGGAAGCAGCTGGATTACGGATTGCCAGGATTGAGATCTCTAGTTTGCAGAGCGAATGCTAGATGCTGGCCTTGCAAATATTTCGCTCGAATGATATACAACCAAAGACCCCCTTCTCTGGTTGCAATCCTCCAAAGCCATTTAGATAGCAGCATGATATCCATCTGCTTGGTGGAAATTATTCCCAGCCCCCTTGTCCTTGGGTTTGCAAATTTCCGACCATTTGACCATATTGTACTTTTGCTTGTCTCCCTTTCCTGCCCAGAATAACCGGGATTGGTACTTCACACTATCATGATGAAGGGATTCATGAAGACTATAGAATCCCATCAAGTACACAAGCAAGTTGATCATAGATGAGTTAATGAGCACATCACGTGCCGCTTTCAATAACCATCTTCCCTGCCAGGGCTGAACCCTATGATGAACTTTCTTCATCGTCATGCTTAGGTCCTTAACTAACAACCTAGAGTCACTAATTGGCATCCCCGGTTAAGATGTCGGGAAAGACCCTAGGCGGCAATTTAGTCGGTTTGCAATTCTTTACTCATCCATGTCAGAGTATCCAAGCACCATTACCCCACTCTTAGGCTTTGTTCGGTTGCAAAAGATTTAATCCTCTAGTGGATTTGATCCACCTAGGGATTGGGTGACCCCCACCCTGTCACCCAAACCCTGCCGTGATTAATCCCCAGAATTTCCTCTCAACCCTTCCCTTCATTGCTGTTTGGTTAATCCCCTCAATCACTGGCGGAAAAGGTGATGTGAATCCCTAGAAATCAAAAGGGGAGAAGATCTTGCCGGCGTCAAACCTTGGGGAGGGACACCGAAGTAGCCTGCCGTGGCCGCCGAGCTCGCACTGGGAGATCTAATGCTAAGACGCAGCAGCCGGCCTTCACTGGAGATGAGAGATCGTCCGCTCCGGCCCCTAGCCGTCGCCCAGTCCTTCCCTGCCGGCGTCGGCGCCGCCGCCTCCGCCGCTCTTGCCCTCTCCTCCTTTTTCTTTCGAGAAGACGAGATGAGGTTTTCTTCCACGCGGCAGGAGACGTGGGTCTAAACCCGGTGAAATCCCTGCGGTTCGGGGTGGGATTGGATGGGATATAAACCCGGTCGGGTTTAACCGAACACGCATGTAAGCTACGCGGGGATTCAGCCCCGACGAGGGTAAAAACCACGGGGTTCGGGCCAAAATCGTTCCCATCCCGGCGGGGGTGGGATTAAACGAACAAGGCCTTAGTGAAGTTGATAGGTAGCCCCAACATCTCCTGAAAACAGAGTAGCAGAAATTTGATGTTTTGGATATACATGTCCGATCCCTCCACCATAAGGATGGTATCGTCCGCATATTGGAGGTGGGTAATTCCCCCTCCCCTAATAAGATAGGGGCATATTCCCCTAATATGCCATGCATGCTTCGCCGCATCAAGGATACCTGCGAGCACATCAACTACCAAGTAAAACAGAAATGGTGATAGGGGGTCACCCTGACGTACCCCACGAGAGGTGGCGAAGATGGGCCGGCTTCATCATTCATGTTAACTACTGTTCTACCACTAGAGATGTGTTGCATAACCATCACAATCCAATGGGTGTCAAAACCTTTTTGGATGAGGACCTCCTTCACGAAGGACCAATGGACACTGTCGTAAGCTTTAGGAAAATCATTATTTTTTTTACTAATTTGAGGTGTTTTCTCTTGACTTCCTGGATGACCTCATAGAGAACGAGGATCCCATCGAGAATAAATGAATCTCCCTTTAATGAAGGCGGTCTGATTCAGGTGGGTATTCCTATCTGCTATAAGGGCCGCCCTACTGGCGTACCCTTTAGCATGGATCCGAAAGATAACATTAATGATCGTTATTAGACGGAAATGACAAATGTTGGTCGCTCCGCAGATTTTGGGGATGAGAGATATTATCCCATACTTAAGGCAGGAAATGTCCATCACTCCATGGAAGAATTCCCCAAAAAGATCCAAGATATCGTTCCCTAGAAAGCATGGAAGAAGCGCACTGGCAAGCCGTCCGGACCCGGGGCTGATGCCGGGTTCATGGACTTGATGATCGCTACGACTTCGGCCTCCTCGAAAGGTGCTAGTAGTAAGTTGTTCTCCTCTGGAGAAACCGGACTATTCCCTGTTCTAATATGTTCGGCGAGGAGGTTCCACCCCTAGCGGCCTCTGAGAATAACTGAGCATAAAACCAGTCGACATGTGCCCTAATATCCACGGGGTCCTTGATTAAACGGTCACCATCCTATAAAAGGGAAATAGTACATCTATGCCTCCTTCCGTTGGCAATAGCTTGGAAGTACCCCATGTTGCCGTCCCCAAAAAGTACCCAGTTCATGGCGCCAATAGGTCTCTTCTTTACAACAGATTTTGAGGATCTCGTCCTCCAGATTATAGCGGATCGCCCATTCTTCCAAAGATAAGCGTACCCCATTGGCCTTAAGATCCAGGAGCTGAATCTTGAAAAGCTGGCCAGCCTTGCGGACCTTGAGATCTGTGGCAAGGTTAGCACCCCACCCCTTCATGAACTGGCGGGAGCGTTTAGCCAGAAAATGCCCACAGTCAACCGCGGACATCATCTGATGAGGTTCATCTTTGGGTACATACATAATGTTGCATATTTTTTCAATGTTTCAGAGTGTATTGTAATGTTTCATTCTATACCAGCAAATCCGACTTTAAACAAGTGTACTCTTATTTGTTTGTACA